CCCCAAAACCCCAAAACCCCAAAACCCCATAAATTTCAAGGTATATTGTTAAAAAATAAGAATAAAAAATTAAATGGGGTGAAATGGGTCAAAGCCAAAGAAATTTAGTAAAATGAAGAAGTCAGTTAATCTTCCAATGTAAATTTCTCTAATTCTGTAGATCTACTAGCTTCAGATCATCCTCTCTAGATTCTTTCAAGAGAATGTATGAAATAGAGCCAATGGTCCTTGGAGGTGGAGCATTTGGTAAAGTATTCCAAGGTCATGATACCAAAAATCCTTCTGTAAAGGTAGCAATAAAGGTCATTGAGAAATAAGACTCTTGGAAGCAATATTGATTTAGTGAAATCAGAGTGACAAATTCTTAGAAATCTTGATCACCCAAATATTATTAATGTAAGTTTCCTTCTTTATCAATTTAGTACAGAGGTAAATCAGATAGTGTAATATTTAGATGTCTACGAGTCCCCCACGAGTGTTTACATCGTTACAGAGCTTTGCAAAGGGAGAGATTTATTTCAGATATATTGTAAAAAGAGTGTTGTCATGAACGAATATGACTGTGCTAAACTAGCTAAGACTTTAATCAAAGCTCTCATTCATTGCCATTCTGAGAAAATTGTTCATAGAGATCTTAAACTAGAAAACATCATGTTTGCTGATGAGGACGAGAGTGATTTCTCTAATGTCAAGATTATAGATTTTGGGCTGGCTGCTAAATTTCAAGGCATCCATTCTACCAAAATGAGTGGAGTAGTGGGATCTCCTTATTTTACAGCACCAGAAGTATTTGATGATGACTATAACGAATCTTGAGACATTTGGTCCCTTGGAGTTATCTTGTATGTTTTATTAAGTGGTGATTACCCTTACACAGCAAATAGCGTTTCTTTATTGAAGGATCAAATTAAAGTCAAGGAAGTACAATTTCCGTATAGAAAGTGGGATATTATCTCAGAGTCAGTCCAAGATCTTCTCTACAAAATGCTTGACAATTTCCCTCGTTCTCGTATCACCCTCAAGGAATGTCTTGAACATGAGTGGTTTAAATCTATTAAAAACGAAGAAATATCCAAAATATCAGATGAAGAAGGTATAGCAAATTGAATCAAATATAGAGTTAAATGATGTGATGGAATCCCTCCAAAAATATAACTCTCTCACTATCCTTCACAAAGAAGCCATGTCTGTTTTTGTGAAGAGTTTGAACAGTAATGAACTCAAGAAATTAGAAGAAATCTTCTCAGACCTTGACGAAGACAACACTGGAATGATCACCCCTGAAGAGCTTCAAGCTGGGCTAAAGAAATTAGGTAAAAAGACCTCAGCTAAGGAGATTAAGTCAATTATTTCCAAAGTAGATTACCTTGGGAACGGAAAGATTAACTATAGCGAATTCTTAGCAGCCACAGTTAAGGTTAAAGATCTCCTCTCAGAAGAGCAAATAGCTACTCTATTTGAAAATTTTGATGTGGATGGCTCAGGAATAATAACAATAGATAACTTGAAAGAAGCCTTTTCAAAGAACGGAAAGCATCTCTCCGAGCAGGAAATCGATGCTATTATGAAAGAGCATGATCTTGAGAAAAATGGGGTCTTAACTTATGAAGAATTCAGAGCAATGATGCTGCAAAACGTTGATTTCTAAAATAATTTACAAAATTGCATTATCAAGTGTTGTTTCTTAGAATAAGTATTTTTATTTTTACTAGAATAGAAAGATGCTATTTTACTTTATGTGAGCTAATGTTTAACTAATTTCAACATTTCTGGATATAGAGGGGTTTTGGGGTTTTGGGGTTTTGGGG